CATACTCCTTGACACTAGACACTTTAACTTCATCAAACATTAATACTGTAAGCTTTTCAGAATTATTCAATACTTCACCATTGAGTTTCATTAGATTTAGTACATCATGAAGAACACCATTCCTCATTTCTATGCTTTTGGCCCACCTCTGAAGAGAAGAAAGTCCTAAAATCAATTTAAAATTAATACAAACATTTTTTAACTAAGTATAATGGTTCAATGAGTATAAAATAAAAAATTATTTACCAGGTAGAGTATAATGCAGTTCATTTTTGACATAGACATATGCTCTTTTACTGAAATACCTAAGAGTGAAGGCTTTTGAAATTTCAGCTCTTGTCCAATGGACCCTTTTCTTTTTTTGCATTATTAAATTCAACTGGTTTGCAGAAAATATAGATGACAAATATTTCTTGGCTTGATTTTCAATGGTTTGACTTTTATTTAAAGAGAGCAATTTGATTTGTTTGGTTGTAGTTTTCTGCGTTTGTTTTAAAAGCAAGTTAGTTTCTTTCAAATTTTTAGTTAGAACCTTTATACTCAAACGAAGTGATTCATTAATTTTTTTATTGTCAATATCAGATTTTTTAATTGACGCAATTTCTTTTTCCAGTACACTGTAATCAGTTTTTAATATGTCATATTCTTTAAGTAGATTGATATAAAACTTCTCATAATCTAGTTCAATGTTAACTTGTGTAAGATCATCATCTGGTATAGACAGTACTTTGGATGTACTGGATGTACTAAGAGCTGAATTGATTATCTTGTTGTGATCCTACAACAATTATTAACAAATATCTGTGAGTTACAAAGTAATGTGATAAGTGAGATAATATAATATAATATTTATTCCTATATATTGTGATTTATTAGTGAGTTTGATATATTATTGTTTCTTTGCAATTATCAGATAAACATTAAATTGTACAGGTTATGAGGTCATGAATCATGATATTACATCATATATATAATAAATTATCTCTACAAATTATTAATATTATTATGATACTAAAATAATATAAAACTTTCTGTTTAAGTATTTGACTGTGGTAATACACAGGGACAAAATTAATACATGAATATAAATTTTAATATTAACCTCTTTTATTGATTTTCTTTCCATCCTTCTTCTACGACTAATGATTGATGCAGATTCAACTAAGTCAGTTGGTAAATTCAACGTAGGAATTGCATCCTCTTTAAGTCTTCGACTCTTAGATTTATATCCTAAAAATACAACAAAGAATAAAATATATTATATCAAAGTTTTATTTTTAGAAATACTACTTAAAAGTTCTGCTTTTAAGTCTCGAACAAATGCATCAACATTAAAGTGATCAGAGCAAATAAATGATGTATCTGGATTAAAATGGTCACCTCGTTTGCATTTCTGAACCCATTCTTTCCGATAGTTTAGATCTTTTGGAAATCTAAACATAATATATTTTAAATGCATATAATAATAGATATAATAAATACCTAAATACCTTAATTATAAATAATATATATTATTTTCAGTTACTTGACTGTTTTATTATTCATTAATATACAGTGTCGGTCTTTTTGGACCTTGTCTATAGTAGGTATACACTTTACACTTGACATGTATTATACTAATATAAATATTGAAATATAATATAATGCATTAATTGGTAATAATTTTAAGTACCTGTGAAATGATATGTTGGATTTTCCATCATTTTTTGATTTACTGTAGTTATTTATGCAAGTAGCAATAGCACAACATGAGCCTCCTTTCTGCTTTAATATCTTTGATTCCATAATACGTATAAACTT